TCTATTGACGCGTCTGATATGATTCTCTTTTATCTCCAATCAATTCTTGTGAATATGGAAAAACTAATTCGGCTAGCCACGTAGTATAAAAGAGATTTGTGAATAGCCGAATATGGTCAGTCAGTCAGTTCACAACACATACACGCACACCCACCATCATACCACACATCAATCGATATAACAAAAATTGAAAAAAAAGGAACACAAAACCTTTTTTTTTGTTGTTGTTGGACCAAATAACATGAATAACGACAACGAGCTGATCTATGCCCAGATGTGTATGTTTGTCTCCTCCTCTGATCATATTTGGATTATTCCATCCTTCGCTTCAAACACTTTTAAAACCTTTTTTGGTATATGTTTAATGGATTATCTTATATACTATATGGTATTCTTAGACCTCCTCATCTCCTCCCTTACCTCCTTCCCTTCCCTTCCCTTCCTCCCTCCCTCCTTCTCTCTCTCTCCCTTCCTTCCTTCTATCTCTGTCTACTCCTCATCATCACATCATTGTTTTCAATAAATGAATGATGGTTATTCAGCTTTGTAAATACCTTTTTCCTTTTTTGGAACTTACCTCCAGCTCCCTTTCTCTCTCTCTCCGTCTCTTTCCCTCCCTCTGTCTCTCTACCCATATACCTATCTTTCCAACCCTTTTTTGACTCGTTTTGACTGAAAATATTTCTCTTTTGATATTCATTGTAGTTTAATCGCGTCTTTTGGATGAATTGATTTGTTGAAAAGGAACATCTTGTCCTCATTTGGCCTCCTTTCCATGTTCTTTCAGCATATTTGGATGGAAAGTACATTCAGTGTTCGTTCTATCTCTATCTCTCCTTCTCTCCTACCTTCAACACCTCTCTCTCTCATTCTCTTAATTGTTATTTACTCCCACGTTTCCTTTTTTTGTTTTTTTTTTCATTTGAAACTCTTTATGGTGTGTATTTGAAAGTTGTTCGAGAACTGTCATGGGCAGACAGATTCCTCCTGTTCGACCATGCGAGATCTCATCGGATCTCTGTTGCTTCTTCTCCTTCTTCGAATTTTTGTATTTTTGAGGCTTTCATTTTGGTTGTTTCAACAGAGATTTATGACTGAACCTGTTCTGAATACAATAGAATTGGTGCTGAAAACAATTCGTTTTTTGAGGACGACAACGTTATGCTTGATGATGAAGACGTTAGTTGTCTTCTCCTCTTCTCTATGAGACAACTAGAGAGATGAAGAGTTGATGACAAAGATTCTCCTTTCTCTCTCTCTCTTGTTCCATCTTTCCCTCCATCTATCCCTCCATCTCTTTCAACTGAAAGGAATTACTGGCCTTATTTTTCAAGTAACTAAGAGTTGTGACAAGTAATATGAGAGATATACGTCATAAGGAACAATCTGGAATTAGTTGGAAAGGCGACGTCAGAATCAAATTGCACCGTTTTCGTTTTTGAGATGAAAATATCTGTTTCTTTCTTTTATATGGAGATGTTTATATATCGATAACATCTAAGTTTCGTAGTTCATAGTTGAGAGAGAGAGAGAGAGAGAGAGAGAGACAGGAAGGACCTGTACAGAGAGAGAGAGAGAGAGGTTAACAGAGAAGAAGAAGAGGTTTGGAAAGTGAGATGAGTGAGTGAGAGTGGACGCGAGCAAATGATTTGTTTAGATTAAATAAACATTTACAATGGAGATATAAATCGTCAGAGAGTTTTTGACAAAAATCTGTTAAAAGCTAAGGACGCGACAGGTCATAAGAGGGCGAGATGATGATGATGATGTAATGCCATTGATATAGTTCACATTCGTTTATGTAGTATGATGTCGTTTGTTAGTATGTTTCTAATTAGAACTTCTCTTTGGTCATTTGAGCTTCTATCTCGTATGTACAGCTTTGGCTTTGTATTCTGATTAGGAAGAGTTCAGTTTGAAATAGAGAGAGAGAGAGGGAAGAGGGAGGATGTTTGAGAGAGTTTGAATGAGTAGTTGTTTCATTACAATGTCATAAGGCTTTAATTTTCTATTATTTTTGAAATCTGATGTATTGAGAGGGAGGTGGGCGTGTTGTAGTATATGTAAGTCAACGTAGTAGATGATGACGAACATGTAAGTCAAGCTTCATCCTCCCTCTCATTCTATCTACTGCCTTACTACGAACGGTGTGTGTGTGTGTGTGTGTAGTGTGAGGGTGGATATGTTATTATTCATGAAAAGCTTTAAAAGTTATTTGAAAGCTTGTTCACAAAATGAAAACAGATGAAGCCATGATATTCTGAGTGTGATGACGTCATGAATGCCTACTAATGATGTCATTTTGTACTTTAAACTTTAAATAAATGGATGAAAGCTTTTAATTGTATTTGATTAAAGAAGGAGAGGGAGGGCTTGAATGGGTGGGACGAGACGACTGAGATTCCTACCTGATAAACGTTTGTTTTCTTTTGTTGTTGTTTAAGCCCTGAGAGAATGCAAACACGACCGCACGTAAGAATATGAAAGTCAAAAATGAAAATGTTCATTTGGCTCATTAGCATACGACGTGGCACATGTCCAACACATGGACGACCACTTATCGATTAGTTTTTACAGAAAAATTCCTCTCCTTTTTCTTCTTGTTTTGAACATTTTTTGTATTTTAGACTTCGTTCTGTTCTTCTCTCTCTCTCAAGCCCTCTCTCTCCCTCTCTCCCTCTCTCTCTGCCCCCCTCTCTTCTCTGTGTAGATCAACGATCATTTTTCTTTTTTTTTTTTCGAATATTTTTGTTTTAATTATTATATTTTGCTAAATAGCGATGTGAACTTTCTATTCTTGAGCTTTTGTGTTTCTCTCTCTTCAGCTGAGGCTTCACCTCTCTTGCTTTAAGCTTTACCTCTCATGAAGTTCCAGCTTCACATCATTGTTGCAGGGCCTCCTTGAAATAGTTTATCCCCCACCCCTCTCTCTCTATTTATAGAAAAACCACCCCCTTTCTCCGTGTGTTCTCAGAAACATTTGCAGGGTGAATATCTAATTGATTGACCATTTCCTATAACTCGAATCAGAATTCCCAGAATTGTCCGAGGTGGTCGTCGTCGTCTGAATGCCATTTTGAGATTTGTGTCCACGCATGATCAGCCATGTCGCATGGTTGAGATGTGTTCTTATAAATGACTAATATCTGGTGGGATGTTGGTGAAAGCTTTGTTTGCACGCGAAAAAAATTTTTTTTTTTTGAACTTTCCTTGGAACTTCATGTCTGACATCTCTTCATTTACAATGTTCTTCAAGTTATATTATTATTTTTTTGTGTTTCTTCTCGTAATCGAATGCATCATGTGGCGTCTGATGTGTTGTCCGTTCTCTTCCTCCCTCTCTCTCTTGATGCCAGTCCCTCTTATTGCCTTTCTTTTGGTGTTTCTTGACTCTTCGTGTTCCTCTTAAAGCTTCTTCCTTGTTTCCCTCTTTTCTGATGGCAGATTTGCTCAGATAAGGCATAGAGAGGAGAGAGATTGATTCTGTTATCACCTTAGCTGTGCTTATCCCTCCTCTGATTCCACTAGACCAGACAATCGAATAGCCTAAGGCTATTAAAAAGTCTCTTAAAGGTGTAACATTTGTTTGGCGAAAAGTTTGTTTCAAAACTTCATATCTTCTCAGCTTCTTATAAAGAAGAGAATTGCTAGGTAGAATGCTTGAGAGGAAAGCATGTGACCAACAGAAAGTTGACGACAACGACGTTGATTTTTTCCTCTTTCCAAACTCCACCTCTACGTGTCTTTTTTTCTTCGTTTTCTTGTCTCATCTGCTTTTTCTCTCTTATTTTCTCTCACCACATCTTGCTTTTCCCTCAATTCCTATTCTCATCCTGTCTGCTGTTTTTAGAAAAGACAGAGTTTGTTGCCAGCAGTCAGGCCTCCACTTGTTTTTGTCATGACGTCATATTGAGTACCGAAAGCTCTCTGTTGGAGGTATAGGAGTTTGAGTAAGCTAGTCAGTTAAGCTTAAAAGGGAAAATAGAGAGTAATGAAGTGAGTAAGAGAGAGACAGAGAAAACGAGGGGGAGGAGGAGGAGAAAGTAGGAGGAGCTTCAACAGCAAATTTTTATACGAATGTCTATAAGGTTGTAAGATATATTAATCGTCTATAGCAATAATTTGAACTCTACAGCATGTTGAGCTTGTTCTCACAACCTTCTCACAAGCTCACTTCACTGCTACTGCTGGTCACGTTAGAAGGATATGAGCGCTGTGTGCGCAATTCTCCCTCAGGCGAATGCCTGTTTGAATCATCAAATGTCTTTTACTTTATTTTTAGTTTTCCACTAAAGAATATCTCACGTGTTTTCCGATTGTTCATGTAACCAGATTTATTTGGACGATTTTTGAACGTTTTCCAAACTGTCCGTGACTCTCTCTCTCTGTATCTCTTTCTGTTTGCATCTCTAACCCTCGCATATGTCTCTCTGCCATCACCATCATCCATCTCATCTCAAGCATTTGTACTCCTTCATATACTTCTTCAAATGCTAATTAGGCTTTGAATTCTCTTCCATGTTTTCCAATATTCCTTTTTTCATTCATATCTCGTGACTCGTAATATCTTTCCATTCATAACTTCTATTTTTAATTTTTCAAATTAAATTTTTCGGCCTCGTTTTTTATCGAACTAATGTTATAACTTGACATTTCCTCTCTTTCAGTTCTCTCCCTCTCTCTCTCTCTATAACCTTATATGTATCTCTTTCTCTCTCTCTCTTTAGATATATACTACTTGCATTGCCTTTGAGTAAGAGTGAAACTGAAAAAATGCGTTTTATCGATTTTTCCTCTTTCTCTCCCTCTTTACCTTTGTCTCTCCCTCTAGTCCTCAATCTCTCCCTCTCTCTCTCCCTCATTCCTTCTATGTATCATCTCTTTCTGTCTGTCATTCTTTTTTTAGCTCATATTAATCTTTTCTTTCTTTTCTCTTTCTTTTTTTTTCTTCTTCTTCTTTTTTTTTTAAATTTTTATTTCATTTTAGACCGTATGGCTTGATGGCCACATTCGCTACACGTTTGTCAAGTGGTGCTCCCACTTTTGTCCCAAGAAGTCATCTGGCGCCAACTTATCCTGAACCAACGACAGCTTCTGCTACGGTCACAACAAATAATAATAATACTATTAATAATAATAATAACACAATAACTACGACGACTACTACCTGCCAACAGGACAGCGACTGCGGCAGCAGGTCAGCTTTTCCTCTTTCTCCTTAGTCCACGTGGCCCATACGTATGCTAATATGACGTTTGCCTTTTTTCAATTTTCATTTTTCTACACTTCAACGAAACAGAGCGGTTGCATTTTTTTCTTTTTTTGTCTTATTTCTGTCTTCAGCCTCATGAAGCCTTCTCCTTTGAATCGTTTTAGTAATGATGATTAATGTAGTGCGCAAAAAGTGATTGTCTGATGAAAAATGAGATGAAATCACATAATTCTTCTTCTTAGATGTCTTTTTCAAGCTATTTATGGCGTCCTAATGAGTGAAGTGAAAGCTTGTGTGCCATAGCTCATCATGAACTTTACTTTCTCTCTCTCTCATCTCTCTCCCTCTCTCTCTCTTTCTGTTAAGGACCATCCTTCATTTGCTAACGAATTTCACTTTTTATAACCATTTCATCAATTTATAACGTAAATTTGTAAACAAACTGTCAAAGCTGATGCTGTCAGATGTTCGAAACCTTTTGATCGCGCGCGCAGCTTCTCCTTGTCGTCCGTTCCTCTTCGACCATCTCAGTGATTTTCTCTTGATTTCAGTGTTTTTGACTGATTATTCATAAAAACAATCAGTAAAGCTTGTCAAAGATGAAAAGATAGCGAATGAACTTGTTCCTGTAAAGGAAAATCTTTTTTTCGGCCAAAAGTCAGAGAGGTTAGAGCTTGAGACGTTTCTTCTTCCGCTTTACCTTTGCCTTCCTTCCCCCCCCCCCTCTCTCTGTCCCGAGTACTAGTTGAAGATATTGATGCCGTACAGTTGTTCCGTTATCATTAAGCGTTTTACAGTTCTGGCTTGGGTGGCATGAAGACGCAGGAAATGGCTTCTGATGAAGGAGGAAGCTCGTCGTCTGAACCACAGGTTAGTGTGAGAAACACGATTTTTACATTTCGCTCGTTATCGTCGAATGAAATCAAAAAGTGTTTTTTCGTCTTCTGAAACACTTCTAGCGTGCATTCGTAACTATGAACATACATATTGCTTATGTGATGATTAAATTTTAAAGAAATCTTTTCTCTCATATGAAACAACTTGATTTGCTTACGTCATTGAGTCTTCTAGTAATTGGCTCTGAATCGCTTTTTTTGGCTTTGAAGATGAAGAAAAAAGATTTTTTGTTCATTTCAAATTACTGAAATATGAAGCTAATTCATTGTGATTCGCAGTTTAGTTTTATATTTTTTCCTTTTACAGCCAGCCTCTTTCTATCCTCGGCCAACTACATTTCCTAGTACCATGCCCTGTTATCCGACGATGCCCATCAATCCCAATCTACCGGTAAGTCTGTTTTTCATCTTTCACATACTCATCTTCTATCCGAATATCAAAAACATTCACATGTCTCATCTTTCCTCTCATCTTAACTTTTCATATATGCTTAAATCAATAACTGTTTGTCATTAAACCAAAGCTTCAGAATTGGTTACATCCCACTCCTCCTGGTGCTCCGAATGATCTGTTTGTTCATGTTCAAGTTGGAGAAACGTTATCCATCATCGTAGGAAGTGAAGTTCAACACATAACAGGTAACTAGAGTTGCCATTCATGTTGTTCATCCAAACTTACCTTTCTAGGACCTGCCACAGTTCGGATGGTTGGTGAAAGCGGAGTATCTCCTTCAGCCTTGCCAATCCATGTACCTCCCGGCCATATGGTTCATCAGATAGTCGACGATCAGGTATGTTCGAACCTTTTTCATCTTCTTCTTCAATGAGATTGCATATGTGTTGTTTGAAGTGGACATATTCAAGGAGATTAACTCCTGAATTTGTCAATTATTTAAAACATTTTCCATTTTTGGACAAAGAACCATGTAATTCTGATTATTTTACTGAGGGAGGGAGGGGGAGAGAAGTTGAAAAAGGCTTTGTATGGAATGGAATCCTCTCGTTCTTTCTGTCTCTTTCTCTGTTACTGGCTCAATGCCTTATATGGCAAATGTGTGTATTTCTACCCACGCGAAATGACGTCGACTGCCTGAGGGCATGGACGGCAAAAACATTTGAGAGCAATGAGCAAGAGAGAGAGTGGAAAAGGAAGACAAGACAACGAGAGACGAAAAGAGAAGCAGACAGAGATAGACAAAACATGAGAAAGACTTGTTAAGCGAAGACGTTGGGATATATTCGTTTCAAGACTAGTGTGAATTCTATTGAATGTAATGACAATTCAATTGCATTTTTCGTTTTTTTTTCTTTTTTTTTCGTTAAGAGATGAAAGACGAAAGCAAAAGATAACAAAAGGAGTAACGAGATTGAGTTGTTTCAGTAGAGAGAGGCGTGAAAGCTTTTCTCGCCAACACAGCGTCATCCTTTTGCGAACAAGTTTGTCAACGAATTGTTAGCAACATTAACGAAAAAAGAAAATGCTCTTCTAATTTGAGAGAAAAGAGCCACGGTCCAGTTGTGATCGTTAAACGTCACGTGTCGTCATCAAGTTGAGCCTTCAGATGACGACAATAATGCGTTGAAGGGAAATGCTTACTCAGAAAAAAGAAAACTTGAAGGATTAAATTAGATGTAGAAGAGGAAGAAGATGAAGAAGAAGAAGGAGAAGATGAAAAAAAAAAGAAAAAAATTGTTGTTTTCAGGGCATACTTCGGCACCTCATCTTATCTCCTGAGACTCCTCCACGTTATCCGAATGTGCAGACGCCTAACTCGGTCAGTAGCTTTCGTATCTCAAATGTTTTCTTTAGTTTATTAATATTTGTTTTTGCTTATTCGGTTGTGTTTGGTTGAAACTAGCTAGTAGTCTGTCAGAAGCATTTAATTACATTTTTTGCATGAATAAGCTTGAGTTCGAGGGATGTAGTATACAACCTAACATGTAATAGTTAGAGAATCATTAGTGCACGATCATTAGTCTTATTCGGTCATCTAGCTGAACGGAGCTTTCCTTGTTCATTCTGTTCGTCCTCTGCACTACTTTTCAGTATTACTATTATTATATTTATATAATATTGCCTTTAATTGACACAACACTATGGATTAGCTTCTCTTTCTACAGGGTATCGCTTCTCGATTGTCTACACCACATGCTCCCAACCATTTCCATCAACCCCCTCTATATACGGTCAATAGGAAATGGTCACATCATTCTGGAGGATCACACAAGATGAATATACAAGATCATGTTGGTCCCACAGTTGCAGCACACGTCGCTCGTGACGATGAAGCGGTGGGCATCTTCTCTCTCTCTCTATCTCTCTTGCTCTGTCTCTTTCTTTCTCCCTAGCTCCCTCTCTCTCTCTATCTCTCTTTCTCTCTCTTTCTCTCCTCTACAGCATCTATCAGTCTTCTTCTTTGCAAAAATTATCAGAAAAATACAGAAATATCGTATGCAATACGAGGGATACTTTGGTTTATATGTGTTAGCTTATGATTTACTGGGGGATTTGGGTGCCTTCTTGCTCTTTTCATTTCCATGTCCTTCTTTGGCAGCTACATCATCTTGCAAACGAACCATTACATTCACTAACTTTTTATTTTGATTGTTTTTCTATTACTTTTGAGAGCGTTAATCAAGAACAACCGTTTGCCACGCTTGAAATAATCAAAATAAACTTTCTCACGTAATTCACGTGAACTCTTTTTTCACGTGGATCACGTAACACGCTGTTGTTGTGAACATCTAACTATTTCATTGATTTCAGGAGATGGATATTGATTCAGAAGAATATGAACGTGTACGTGAAATGCTTAGTCGAATTCTTGCTCCTCAAATCGTTCGAGTGACCCCCACTGAAGCAGATATTGCTTGGCAAGAAATAGACACCTCAGAGGTATTGATTTTACTTTTTTTTGCCTCATTTGACGAATGTTGTTTTCAGGCTTCTGCTCCCGGTGGTCCTTTCCCTCAAATTGATGCGTCTGAATACTCGTATCAAATTGTTTTGTTTGAGAATCAAGGTCGATTTGTAAATAGTTATCGGTTAGTTGTTTGTATTAAATGTTTCTATTCAAATATTTCTTCTGCAGTTGTGAATCATCTGGAACTCACCTTCGATTATGTCATCTTCGCCCGAACACGGATTATTACGTACAGCTTAAAGCATCTTTAGAAGAAAGAGGTTTAACTGGAGAACCTAGTCAGCCAGTTTTTTTCAAAACTCATCCCGGTCGGCCGGACTCTCCTTTGATTCCGAAGTAAGTAAACGAAAGGAGAACAGTTTAAAATGAATTGAATTGAAGATTCGTAAATGCGGGATCAGACTGGTTAACCATCTCTTGGAGAAGTCCAAACGACAATGGAGCCAACATTCAAGTGTACACCGTATATGTAACACATCAAAACGATTCGAACAACGAAAAAGTTTGGGAAGGACGAGGTTGTGAAGCCAAGATCAACAACTTGAAACCATCAAAATCCTATAGGTAATGAGTAATTTTTCTTGTCCGAATGAATAATCCATTTCTTAGACTACAAGTCACAGCTACAAACCGTATTGGTGAAAGTGGATTGTCGCCTTGTTTGGTAGCCTCAACAAGGCCTGACCATAGCCAACCACCTTCACAACCAGCCGCTCCTAATGTCACAACTGTTTCAACCCGAGCTGTCCGCCTTACTTGGCCTAGCCAAGGAGATGTTCAATACTCTGTTGAAATGAACGATGTACTACAAGGAGTTCTAAGCACAGTACGTGAGAGGAACTCAGCCTGTTGGGCTACGATTCAAGATCTCCAACCGTAAGTGTCATGCGAGCTTGGCTCATATGACGTTTCTATTTTCAGTTCAAGTGAATACTGTTTCCGACTCCAAACACATTCAGCTGAAGGGGATTCACAGAAATCCGAATGGGTTTATGTGAAAACACATGGAAAGTCAGAACGATCCACCACAAACGATCGTGTTGTCGTTCCATCGAAACCTTACATCCTCATGAAAACAAAAAGGAAATTGGAAATAGGATGGAGAGTATCATCAGCAAAGTAATTTGCCTCATTATCATAATTACCTTAATTACGGAATTTTTTCAGAGAACGGGAATTTACATATCATTTAGAAGGTTCATCCTTTAATAGCCCAAACAAATTCCGAACGTTATACAAAGGACCACAAACGAGCTGTATGATCACTGAAGAAGATGTCCAGAACTTCCGAGTACAGACTGTGAACAAGAAAGGCGTTGCGGTAATCTATAACTCTTTTGATCTTCTGATATGTATGTATCATATTGCAGAGTGACTTCTCCGACTCTTTCTCACTTCCCAAAGTTGAAGACGATCTCATCCAAAAGCCTCCCCAACTTTCAGCTCCTAAATTGGAAGGAGCTGGTGTAGGCACCATTGCTATCACATGGAAAGCTCCCCAATTAAGTGTAAGTCCTATTCAGTTGTTGCTATCAATTAATTATGTGCTTCCAGTTACCATCTACCACAACTCTCATTTATGAAGTTAGACGCGTAGATTCGAATAACGAGATTATCTATTCCGGAAAAGAAACAACTTGTTCCGTTGAAGGATTAGCTAGTCGTGTTCATGTCGAAGTGCAAGTTCGAGCTGTTATCATCTCCTCGTCGAACGTCCGACTAGAGGGAGATTGGAGTACATCTGGTGCTATGTTGTCACCTCGACCACCACCAAGGGCTCCAAAAGAGTTGAGACTATCAGCTGATAAGTGAGTCCAATCACATAAACGCCCTCGAACATACTTACTTCTTACAGGTCGTACGTGTCCTGGACTGCTGTTGATTCCTGTGCTGATACCCGATTCCATATCTACTTCTGTGAGATTGTAGACGCTAAGCCTATCAACGAGAAGAAGTATGAGGTTAATGAGTGTAAATACACTCTCACAATGCTTGGATACTCAAGGAACTACTCTTGTCGAGTAAGGACACATTCCTGCTGACTTGTGTTAATTTCTGAATTCCTTTCCAGGTTATTGCATATCACGACGGTGGCGAATCTCTGCCATCTGAAGAGATGTACTTCACAACACTCGCTGGAGTTCCGTCCCAACCTGATAGTAATTCAACATCTGATTTCAAAAATTCTTATTGTTTAGTTGCAGGCGTATCCATCGAGGCAGAAAGTACATCGATACTTATTCTTCGATGGCTTCCACCTGATGCAAGAGGAGATCCAATTCAACAATATCACATTCGCGTCGAAAGCCGTGGAGAGGTACATACCTATTTATTTTTTTCTAAAACTGATTTTAAAACTACAGGTTGTGAGGGACTCGTGTGTTTTGGCTAATCCCGCTCAGACTCACTGTGAACACCGTTTGTGTGACCTACAGCCCGATACTCCTTATCGAGTTGAAATCGCCGCTCAAAACGGAGTCGGAACAGGATTGTCCGTTGCTATATCTGGACGAACAAGATGTCTACCTCCTAACCCACCAACGTAAACGTGTAATGGTATACTCATACTAAAATCTTCACTTTCAGTCTTGAAGCCGAATGTGAGTCGAGCTCCCTGCGTCTGAAATGGAAACCACAGAACACTCATAGCTTCTTAACGTACAGGTGAGCACACAAATAAGATAAAATGAAAAACAGTCAAACATACCTATTTGGTTCTTTCGAAAACGTTTTTGCACAGCAGAATCAACCGCTCCCAAAGTATAGACGTTTAAAAATAAAAAAGTCCACGTACTCACGTGAACAGTACGCGCCATTGAATACGATCACCCTTTATGCTAATTATTTAGAATCGTTCGACTCTCTGATAGTGATCATCAGTCAACAGTTTATGATGGAGATCAATGCTCTTTTAAAGTTCGCGGTTTACAAGAGAACTCTGAATATCGTTTCCAAATCCGCAGCAGTGACCGGTATGCATCCGTCCACTCCATTCTGTTTAAAGAAATGGTTTTTAGTCAAAACGGAGCTGGTCCCTGGTCGGAAGTCTATGCTTTTAGAACGAGCTATGCTGCTCCACCGGCTATGAAAAGTCCTTTGGTCGCTACAAATGCTGGTTCAGGCTGCTATCAGTTAGAATGGACTCCCATTATCCATAAGCCCAATATCCGAAGATTATTCTATCGCCTACAAGCTTTGGACTGTTCTCTCGATAATGCCAAGTGGCATACGGTAATTCATTAAAAAGATATTAATACCAACTGTGATCAAAAACTATTCCAGGTGTACGAAGGAATGATGACATCATACACCCTGAAAGTATCTGATTATCCATCAGCTGTCCAAGCCAGAGTCTTATGTGTTCGGCCAGAAGGAGAAACCGGTGAAATAGTTGGATCACCAAGTTCTGTTGTCTACATGGCTAATCAGATTATAGAGAAGAAAGCTTCCTATGTAACTATTTTGATGTCCCAAACTAAATTGATACTATAATATTGCAGAAACATCGGTACGAGGTGGAAACAACAGAAGAAGATCATCAACCATCATGGTGGCATTTACGAGCTGATCGAGGCATAACATCCATTGCAGTGGTTTGTGATTACCTCTGTAGAACCATGATCAAATTGTTGTTTCAGATGACTTTTATAGTGTTTTCTTTGGTTGTAGCCATATTTGTTGACACTCTATTCAATTTATCAACGCCCAGCCCACCGTTGCCTTCTTCCATCGGTGGCGCTGCACATACAATCAGCAACGCTCCTAGAGAACTTTAAAAGTTAAGCTTCGTTTACGTAAGAAGTGTCATGGACACAAAGGATTTCAAATTGCCGATAACATTGCCTTCTGATCTGGCCATCAGACCTTCCTGACGTTGTCGTATTTTCTTTTTTCTTCCCTGAAATTTCAGCCAAATCATATTCCCGGAATCGTATGTCACATAGCTGGTTGATCATTTATCGAATGATTTTTTGAATCCTTTTTTGGGCGGGGGATGTTTGTGGATGAGAACCCTCCAGAGTAATCCCAAGTAGAATGAGATATATACTTTGAGCTAATCAAAGTGCTAGCAAGCTCATCGATGTTCCGCTGGTCGGTATATCCTCCCCTTCATACTGTTTTATACGAATCGAAATTCTTACTGTATCTTGTACCATCATCAGAACCTACTCCTACTCTCCCCTCTCGAGAATTCTATTTCTGATTTCCCAAAATATTTATTTGAACCTTCGGACTCATTCCTACATTAGTTAGGAAACTAGTTGCTGTACATACCGTTTCCCATGAGAACCAAAATGAAAAAAAAAGAAAATTTTAGAGGAAGAGCTGATCTTCCAGAAAACATACGAACGCTTGATTTTGCGAGTTTCGTTATTCGCCAAATTTGGATAAGACGGTTTCTTTTTTATTTGTTTTTCCTGCCTTAACTAGTTGATATAGTTTTATCGGATTTATCGTGTATACTCCTGCTGGCCTTCTTCTTCTTCTGAAAATGTTTTATCTGCTATCTCCCCGTGATGTATATGTAATTCAAAACACCAGAAAGAAAGGAATCTTTATCTTCTCACACATATTTACCATATGAATGATATCCACACTGTATTATGAGGTTTCTTGTCATATTTGGCCTAAGGCTTAGTAGCTTGCTTTCCCAATTTCGGTCTCCCCTTCATTTCATCTATTCAGCATTGGCTTTTCAACAATCAATCTCTTACCATTGGTCATCTCCCTCTCTCTCTATCCCCTCTCTCTCTCTCTTTTGGTTTCTTTTGCTTCATATTTAAACAAATCAGTTACTTCTACAGGCGCGGTTATATTTCCCAAACATATTTCTGACAATTGTGATTTCATTTCATCTCCTTTGCCTTGATTCTTTCCCCCCCCCCCACTCCCCAATCACCCTTCTTCATTCTCTCTCTCTCTATCTTTTTGTTTTGTTTAAAGGTTCCTCTGTAGATTAGTTCACGTATTAACTATGTTTGGCAATCGAGAATGAAAACAGCTTTCCTTTGCTTTTCCTCTTCCTCTCCCTCTCCTCCTTCTTCGCAAATCTTTCTCACTCTTTGGGTAAAAAGCCAAATAGTCATTACGTGTTTAGCTCCAAGTTCTTATTTATTTATACAAAATATTTATAAAATTATTTATATAAATATATATATATATATATATATGTATAGATTCAGAGATAAAAAGAGTCATTTCCCTAATCAGTATTTGCCCCTTCCCCTTCCTTCCAGACCTCTTTCGTTCCTTTCCCTCCCTTCCCCTCTTCTTCAGTTATTGTTGTTTACTTTTACATGACCCCCCCCCCCTCCCTCTATACCCTTCCTTCCCCTCCGACGTTGTATATTCTTCCTTTCCCTCCATATATCTATGATTTCAGCTGCCAAAATCATATTTCTCAAAGCTGTTTCTATCCAAGTGATGTTACTGTGATTCTCTTAGTTTTAAATCGTTTCGAAGCTCCGAAGAAGAGTTCCTTTTATTTCTTTTTCTCTTCTTCTGCTTCATCCCAACCCTAATCACTTTTTCTTTTTTTTTTGACATCGTCATTTGTGCATAATAAACTATTGTTATAAATTTCTTATTTTCATAGGTCAAACTATAAAGAAGACATATTAAGGAAAGTCATATCCAACTACACATGCACACCATCATCATCACCATACTATACAGAGAAAGAGACAAGCTATCGATTGAGTGTCTGTCTTCAACCAAATATTGAAACATTCCTTGTTTTTCATCGAATTTCAAATGTTATTTGTGACTGAAAGGATGTTTCAAGAACAATCTTCGTTCGAATGATCCAAACATCGCTTAACGATGATTGTCCATCAACGCTTACAAGAGTTACAGAAGTGGAGAGAGATTAGTCGCATGAAAGGTTTATTGGAGGTTCACATATCCATGTAGTCCAATAAATGGAAATACGCTCCACAGAATTGTTATCTGAAAAGGGTTGTTGCCAACACATCGATTATGATCTGCAAAACGTTTTTTTCCATTTTTCTGCTGTTTTCAGACTGTTTTGTTCCATTTGTGTTGTATGAGAAGAATTAGTAATGTTCAAGTAAGAAAGATGTTAGTGAGTGAGTGCAAAATGAAAATTAGAATATTGAATGTCAACTGGTTTAAAGCTGAAGGATAACAAGAGTAGGTTGAACCTTTACAAGTTTCACTTTGAAATAACATGTGTGTGTGTGTGTCTGTGTGTGTGTGTGTGTTTCGTTTTGACAACAATTCTTAAGAATATGTTAGTTGAATTATCAATACCATTGATAAATGATAAAAAGCGATGATGTGAGAGAGAGAAAGAGAGAATAGAAAAGAAAGTGTTAGAGAGAAAGAAGAGTAGAGAGAGGTAATAGAGAGAAGGGGCGTGCGAAAGGGGCAAAGGAGCTGTTGACACGAAAAAGCTCGTCTGTTCATATGAACTTTATTTTTTTGTGGTTGAAAGTTTCTTTCTTGACTCCTTCACTCCCTCTCTATGTTCCTTACCCTCTCTCTCATTCTCATTCTCTCTCTTTCTTCCTCTATCGTCATCGTGTTGCTTTCAAAATTTATTATTTAAATAAGAACATTATCATCCATCATTTGATAGTTATGGCTCGTTTATTTGAAACAAAAGCCAAGTGAGGACTACAAATAATTGGCTGATCATTGCTCTACGGCTAATGTTTCATCAAACGGCACTGCTTTATTTCAAACAAATGTTTTTTGCTTCTTTTTCTTCTTCTTCTTCCAATAACTCAATCATGCCGTTGGGCTTTGTGTGGTTCTGATGCTGGTGGTGTTAGTGGTGGTGGCAGTGGTGAATGAGTTGCTGACAATGTCTTTTCACTTATTAAATTCACTCATAATGTATGTAATGCTTATTATTTGCATATTTAATGTTAATATCAGTCAAGCCTGATTTATGAAAATATTTTATTTCAAATAAGACTTTTCACGGCAATTAACATAGTCAGCGAGTGTACGTGAAGTCTACGTGAGAAATGCGAATGGCATTGACGTGTATGACGTGACTATAATCATTTTATCTGCATTTGCGAGCGGTGAACGGTTGTGTTATTTCTTTTCTCCCTCACTTCTCTCTCTCTCTCCATCCCTCCTTTTCTCTCTTTATCTCTCCCCTCTAACCTCCTTTTACTTCGTTTTTTCTTCTTTGCCTTCTCTCTGCCCCTATATCTATGTCTCTTTGTATCTTTTCATTTCATTGTCGGTTTGCTTCATTCCTTTCGAATAATTAGTACAATTGTATCCGCATTTTGAGCTTTTGCGTAAACGTGAAGACAATCTACATCCACGTGCTTTCTAATGTATTCCGAGTTTGTTTTTTTGAATTTCTCTTTGTTAGCAAAGTGTTTTTGTTTTGTAAAAAGCTTATCAAAGATCGTCAAGTTTGCATTTATGATGCCTTTTTGAATCGTTTAAATTGTTAAAAAAATTTTTCATCTCAAATGATTTGTTAACAATAGTTCAGGATGTTGATAGAGAATGTCTGTTTGGCTAAGATGCTTTCAGATGATTCAAACTCTATCAGTTTGCTTGCAAACTGCCTTCGGGCAATCTTTTGGTTTCTTCCCCCTCCTTTTCTCATCCCCCCCGTGACATATATGTTCTTTTGATTGAGTTAATAAGAATCTTTCTTCAAGGATTATCTTAATTTCCATTAATCTCTTTTTTTCTTTTTCCAGCAGGATTTATGAATATTTATGCGATTTATCTGATTTTGTAGTTAAAACCTAACGTCACAGGAATTGCATGCTCACTTTCTCGCCTCACAGATTCCTTTCTTCTCTCTCTCTTGCCTTCTCTTCTTTATCTATCTGAGAACATTTCACGTAATTACAGAGAAAATCGCAAAAAAATCTTTGTGAAAATGAGCAACTTCTTAAACAAATTGAAGATCTGCAACTCTTGTTTTGACGGCTTTTCGTTTGATGGGTATCCTCTCTTCTACAAGTTTCAGTTTTTTTTTGGAACAAATTGCTTTAGCTCGAACGTTTTCCTCATCTCACTCTCTCTCTGTACTCTTCTTCTCTCATCCTCTTCCTCCTTGCTTCCCCAGCTCCTAGTAGAATATGAATCCATCATATCTCTCATCCTGCATCACTCTCTTCATATTCAATTGTAAAACGGGGCTCAGATCACACATAAACATGTCAAGTTTCTTTTCGTTTTTTTCATGGAAAATCTATGACCTCATTGAATCTCTTTTCTGCCTTTTTACTCTTTTTGTTCCTTTTTTCCTTAGTAATCTCAACGAATTGTTCTTCTTTTGTACTTTCGACTATAATCTCGCGTGTTTCTTGAACTTTCTGTGCTTCTCCACCCATTTTCCTCTTTCCTTTCCACTCTCAGCCCCCATTCTCTTTATCCGTTAATGATGTTGGACTTGAGATGTGATTGAGTGCGAATTTTTCAAACCAGCTCCAATTGCTTTTTGGGCTCCTCTTTCTTACCTTCCCCCCTCCCCACCACCCATCACCATCCATGGCTCTGACTGAGCAATTGAAGCATTCTGTTATCTCAAACATTTCCCAAAAACATAGCTTTCTCGGTCACAACGACTTGTTTTCTCTCAACTTTTCCTTTTTTGGAAAAAGTTTTTTTTTTAATTTTTCTAATCTTTGGTCGAAATTTCAATTTGTGATCTCTCTCATTAAACTTATTTTCCTCTTTGCTGCCATGAGCTAAGGTCTCTTGACTGTTTATGGATACTTCAGAATATGATAAACATTTTGATAAATTTTTTGTTTTCGTCGCATCGGGTATGTTTCTGCTGCGAACCTCATTGCTATGCCCACACCCTCCACTTCATATTTCTCTGAAAGTTCTCTGATATCCGAAACTGTTTGTTTATGATGTTCTCTCACATTTTATTCTCGTTTTTTTTATTTTCTACAACACTGCTCAACCCAAACTTTCATCTTTTAAACAGCGTTGCCTTCTCTAGTCGGTTTTGTGTTTGTGTGTGTCTATGTCTGTGGGTGAGCCACAAGGATTACCTAGATCCCAAGTTGCTCAAACATCAGATGATATTAACCGCATAGACACAAACTACATACGGTGTTAATCGCATTTTGTGATCAAACCCAATGCTGACTGTGTGTTCATTGATTATATTCTTGATCGACTTTTATTTTTCTATTAAATTGATCTTTCTTTCGTGTTGTGATCAGTTTTAACGTCATCCACATGGGTCAGATGACAGTCGTGCTTGGTGATCTTTCCCGCAATTGACCGGAAATTGGATTGTGGCAAAGAGCCAAATCACACCAATGACTTAAGAAATCCTTTCTTATAATTAGAAGAAGTTCTATTGTTAGTTGTTTTAAACTATTCTCTGTGCTAGTCTTTGTTATATCGGAAGAATTATTGATGCAACTCTAGGTTTGTTCCGACTTTTGCGAACTTTGTACTCTCAAAACGCTTCTTCTGATCTTTTTCTGAAAATTGTTTTGGTCATCATCAAGTACTCTCTCAGCTGCTGGTGTTGCTGCTGCCTTTTTTTACTTTAATAGTTCGTCTAATTAAAGCAAAACTTGACTATTTTCAATTTTTGTGACTAACAATGACAAACTCGATTGAGATGACTGATTGTTGATATTTGTCGTCGTCGTCGGTGTTCTGAAAAGTTGCGATTAAAGTAGAAGAAGTGGGTCTACATGTCTTCAATCTTACACCTTCCATTTCATTGTATTTTCACGTTTCACAAACGGTTTAGTTGACTCGATGATAATAGGCGTATTGTTGTTTCATTCTCTCCTTCTCCGTTCTCTCCTGAAAGACATGTTTTGTTGGCATTTTCAGTTTATTTTGAAGATTTGTATCCTATGACTATCTGACTCTGACGCCATTTACAACTCTGCTGCTTTGATTCATCTTTCTGATCAGAACCATCCATAACCATCTTAATGATGAACGTTATTCATCGATTGTTATATTATAACCTGTTCTTTCGATTTCTTCTGAATTCTACCACTTCCCAGCCTTTAGACGTTCTGCAGACTTGCCTCTCTTGCTTGTTGTGTGCCATTCAGTCTTCTTCAACTTCTTCTCCTTCTTCATTCATCATTCCCTCAAATCATATTCTACTTTCAGTCTTACATTCGTTACATCTTCATTGTTAAGCTTATTATAGATTTATAATTAACTTATAATTCATGTAACCTCCTCATATTGAAAAAAGAAAAGATTTGCTCGAGATTTCTTAAGCTTCTCCTTGATTGGCGTCATCGCTGCATACGCTTTCACCGCTGGCTTTGGTTTGTTCCGGGTCTTCCATGATTCGCTTCTCATTCTCAGGAAGACATTAAACGAATAAAGAAAGAACGACAAGAGAGGAAAAGGCAGAGAGATAGCTGAATAAGAAATTTCTGCTAATCAGCTAGTCTGTTCATATCTGGGAAACCAGTATAGTGCAAGTAGCAAAGTAAAAGGTTCAAGCATGAAGATTCTTTTTGTGTATGAGCCATTCCGATCAGACACGCTTATTCTAAGCATATTCTGTCCTTGGGGTGTTATCTAGACCAAATCTCTCCTTCAAAACTGCCCTGCAACCTCGCACCTTGACTCCTTGCCGCCAGCTTCTTCATCATCATCATTGGCACTAAGAAGCCAGCCATGACGATAGGATTGTTGTGAATTTCGGGCATTTTTTGTCATTCTCTCTTTCTCACTTCTATCAATATTTGCCATTTTGTTGCTTTCCTTCACTTTCTCCATATTCTGGTCGATAAATAACAAAACGCCATCAAGCCGATCTGCACCGTGGGGTCTCCGACGACCAAGTGCATGTTTTCTACTTCGCACTTTTCTTCTATTTCATTCGTACACAACGCGAACAACACAAAAATGGCTGAAACAGCTCGATCCGCAGTCTCCTTTGGCTTAAAAGCCAAGAACCTCTCTCCTTTATATCATTATTGCTTCATAAATGCGGCTAATTCATGAGCAAATTACCCTTTTCAGACATTTCTCCTCTCCCTTTCTCTCCTAATCTCGCAACCTTCCTCTCAGTTTGAACTAGCAGTTGGATGAAGTCAACTTAGCCACTATACTTTACAACTACCCTCTCTCGCTACTCGATTTCGTAATTTCTATCTACCACACACTGTACCGATCGACCCGTTGAAATGATGCTCGTATCGATGTTCTTATCAAATACTTTTTTCACTACTCATCAGTCAATTCCCCAACGAATTCACCGACTCATTATGCTTTGATCTTCGTGTGGTTCACCACATATCTATTATCAAACCATTATATCTGAACTTGTTGATTTCCATTTTTGGATATGCTGAGATCAATCTATTGCATTTGATCGCTACGGTCGCTTTTGGCTCCTCCTCCAACATACATTACGCGCTCTAAGACGAACGCGCCGCGTGCCCTGTCTACTCATCTCTTGGGCGGACCTCAAGAGCAGTACCTATTACGTTCTGATTGAATTTAGTAGAAACGGTTTTTTGGATCTCTCTCGCAGGACAGATGACAGAACGGTTGTTAGTTCAACATTAGCGTAACATACGGCTACTCGTATCGATTGCGTTTCTGGTTGGGCTAGTACGCAAAGCGCGAGGTGATCAGCTGACCGACTATTGCGCTCCTCAACACGCTTTACACTTCCAGTTTTGATTAAATTTGTTCTTTTTTTCATTTATTTTTGTTTCATCAGCTCGTTTTCCGAGTACAAACTTCGTTTAGAACATTACATTCGATTAGGGCTCAGTTTTGTTTTGTTTTCGTTGAGCTCTCGTTGAGATACAAGCATGATTCCTACAATATTTCGTTTTCTCCTCGTTTACTGTTGAAACTTCGATACCTGAATGTGTTCTTTCTAGGCGTCACGTCTCCATGCTTTGAAGTGTCAGTGATTACATAAATTCGGCCAAAATTCCGCGACTAATCACTGTCGTCATTGTGACGATGCTCTTCTTTACATCCGTTATCCTTTTCATGACAACGGTTGCACAAGAAGTGATTTCACAGTATAGTGTTGAAGTTGTAAGTTCTATCTCCCACACACACCTATGTTAGTTCTATTGTTTGTAGGTTCATGAAGCATCAGGGGTACGGAGACCAGTACTTCGTTGCGAAGCAACTGGTGCTTCATTCGGAGCCGATGTAGCTGCTTTTTCCTTCACAAAGCATTCAGCTGGATGTGCAGTATTTACGGATCCAGATGATGCTTGTTCAGAAGTGAAGGTAACAAGAGCTAGCATGTTATGCTGATGGTGAACTCTCGTGTGTTTCTTCAGATCAAGCCATATGTAAACTCAACTATATGTGACGACTACTTTGCAATTGTTCCTAGGGGTAAATGTAACTTTTCCGAGAAAGTGAGCTTTGGTTTCTGATTATCTTCTAGTTATTTTCGTTCGTTCAGGCTTATTATGCTCAAAACTCTACTCCAATTAATGTAGCTGCCTTAATAATTTTCAACAAACCTGGTGAAGCTCCAGTAGATATGAATGGAGGAAAGTTTGCTGACAAAGTGAGTTGTGTCTTTTGCGGATTGCAAGAAAACAACTATTGAAGGTTCAAATTCCTCTAGTTATGGTTAGTCATGCTTGCATCGACACCATGATGACTACATATCCTCCTTCCAAAGGGTAAGTAACATACACTTGCTCTTCATCTCATCACTCTTGTATTACAGATTTCTTGTACAAATCAAAATTTCACCAGGGTATTACGACTTATTCAGATACCTTATTCCCTTTGTTGTTGTTGTCGGGTTTTGTTTCTTCATTTTGTTAACTAGTTTGGTGAGTTCTTTGTTTACGACTTAATTTCATAAGGCATAAGCATTTCAGGCTGTTCGTTTGTGTCGTGAACGTCGTCGTATATCTCGTAAACGTCTTTCAAAGAGAAATCTCAAAAAGATTCCTACCAAGAAATATAGAAAAGGTTAGTTCACTCCCATCTTTTCGCACCTCTCACGTGTCTATCGCATTCTAGATGATGAACCTGATACATGTGCCATTTGTCTAGATGAATTTATTGACGGCGAGCGTCTTAGGGTTCTACCTTGTCGACACAGTAAGTTTCTTTTTTTTTTGTTTATGCAAGAACTCTAGTTCTAAAGTTATCTACTAAAATAACTTGTTATTTATATTTCACGTGGACGCTACGTGACATTAGAATGATGTTTTCATTTCATTCTTCACTTATGTATTGAGCGGTTGAATTTTTTATTGGAGCATGTACTTTTTCAATCCTGTTTCTTTCAGCATATCATTGCAAATGTATCGATCCTTGGTTGACACAGAATCGGAAGGTTTGTCCTATGTGCAAGCGGAGAGTTGGAGCCAAGAACTCTGACAGTGAATCTAGCGATGATGAAAGAACACAGGCAAAATAAAGACTCAAAGATTTTATTAATCGTGGGTGTTTTCAGCAACCATCAACTGCAACATCAACAACAGAAATCACTCCTACCAGCGAGAGTATCCCGCCCATTTTCGAGTCTCACGATGACGCTGGTACCCATTTTTTTCTTAGAACTTTATCTATTTGTGTAATCTTAGACTCTCCGACTGTATCCAATGTTCGTGCCGAAGTACATCATGGATTAAGCGGCTCGACCGAGCAACTTGTTTATGATGACTTCCTTGCTCATACTGAAGCTCAAAGGTACATCTGTTGTTTTAGTGTTGAACTAATCATATTTCTGCTTCAGTGACGATGAAGAAGAACCAACTTTGTCTCAATCGATAAAGAAGAAACTTCTCGATATGTTCCAAGGGAATGCCTCTGGAGCGGAACCAATACCATCCGAATCTGACGAGGTTTGTTTTGTCTATAGTGCTTTGAACTAACGTTGTTATTCGCAGGAAGCTGGGCAGGTGAATCCAGGATACAATGGCAGCCGATTTAGCTTGAATAATATGCATGAAGATGCTGATAGTCGAGCGGACTCTTCCACTGTGGACGAAGAGCAACAACAGCAACAGCAGCATCAACAGCCACAGCAGCATGAGTCAACTGGGTAAGTGTTTTCGATATTTCCTAGAAATTAATGATGATGAGTCTTTCTTTCAACCACGCATTTTTCCATTCTAGTCCTGGCTCTCCTCATACGGCTCCTTCCAATAACGAGCAATTCAACGATCCTTTCGAATCGAATCAAAGCTAGTTCTCTTTTAAAGTTGGCAGGGAATCTATTATTTTCTGTGGAATTCAGTTTTAGTGCCTCAATTCGGTTGGTGCTCCTAGTCGATGGTTTTTTTTGTACAGTTTGCGCATATTTTCCAATCATTATTGTGGGTTGATATTCTACAGCGGGCTTTGTTGTCTATATCTTACAAAGTTTTCTTCTCCATGTCCTGTTCTGACATCCTCATCATTCTAGTGCACGTGTTGCTAGTTACTTAAAACTAATGACCTAGTCTGTTCTATATCTCAATCTATTCCATTATCATCTCTGGGTTTTTATCCTTTTTCTTCGAAAGCGCTCTTTTACCTTTAATTGACATTGGCCATTCTGCTTTTATGTATTCTCGTGTACTCTCAGCATGCCACTGTAAAGAAAATGCTTATCCTGCTTTCAAAATACTTTTGTGAATACTCGGTCGCTCCTAATTTGTATGCACCGGTGCTTCTAGCCGCTAACGTTTCCTATCTTGTTAAGCATAAGTTTTAGGTCTTCAAGACTAATTATTTGTGTATTTTAAGTGATTACGTGTCTTTCACTCGTATAAAGATTTATATACAATTAAGAATTTGTACATGAATTAAAGCATTCGAAGAAGAAAGACTAGGGCATTTAATAAGGAAGACTTATGATGTTGACTGTCTTCTGCTCGTTATGTTAATCCTGGAGATCTGGAATCAAATATCTTTTTCTCAGTATTCTCTTCAGCTATGTCTACCTCAAGCTTGATTGGATAAGATGAAGGTTGCCATGTTTTTACACATATCAACAGCTTTTTGGCCGGCGAGATGAAAGATTAGTTGCTCTGCCAAACGCGACTCAATTGTGCGGAATCTCCTCGAATCGGAAGGCTGAAGCAGATTAATAATTGAACGCATGTCTTCCAACGATATTTTCAGGAAAATTGGAGCTTTTGTGTTGGGAAAGGACTGACCGAGTATGAGGGAGAGGGCATGATGAAACATCTTTGCAAGGCTGACATCTTCACAATAATTATACCCTGAAATTAGATATGAATAAGTATTTGTTGATTGAAAGCTGGAAGGAGGGTGTTGGAAACAAGGAAGGGCTGTCTTCAGCATATAACATGTTGTTTAGTTTGCTAAGGCGTTGGGACAAGAGTTCAAGAACAGAGAACAATGTTCGCTAACCTTTTCTGGAACTGCCAACCGCTCAGAGGCCAGTGCATGAACCTAAAATCAGATTTTTAAGTGTCGCAACATTCAACAATTTCTTTTGGATTTATGGAAAGCCGGATATGTAATTTCATCTTGGTACGCGGAGAAGTGTTTACTAAATCTTACAAGTTTAGAGGGAAAGTTCAAGGAGCTAGAGCTGTTGTGGGAGGATTGGCGGCTTTCTATATCTCTCTTTGTCATGAACGACAAACCAAGGAACGATCTCTCGTTGGCGAGAGAGGGGAGAAACACTTCAGATTTTTGGTTCGTATCATGAAACCATCGATGTGTTATCACTTCTATCTTCAGCAAATTCCTTACGATGGCATGTCAAACTGGACATTAAAATGACAAGAATGACTAAAAATATCCGAGAGGGTAGAATGACTTTTTCAGTGGTCAATATGATTTTGACTTATTGTTCATACGCGAATTGAAGTTGCGTGGATGATTCAGAACCCCTTGGAAAGGTCATCTGACTATTGATGTTTGATTATCAACAGTAAAACTGCACATATCACAGATTCTGTTCGGAGAAAAGAAGACGAACAAGTGGACGACGTGATATGATAGATGGAAGTGAATATCCATCAATCTTTAATCTGGTATTATATCTGGATGACGTGAGGATTGCTCGCATTTAACAAGCGAAATTTTTCGATAAAATCAGTAAGTATCACATCACACAGACACACACACTTCACACACTTCCTTAATGGGAGATATCCATTCATGTCGCTTTACAACATTGCAGGGAAAGAAAGGCGTGCTTCATAACTGTTTTGCGCGGCGCACAATGTGGCACATGCAACACGAATCATTTCAATTGTTTTAGGAATTTAAAAAAAACGGGGTAAAGTTCACAAGAACAGGACTAGTAGGATAAGCATTTCATCCGATTCCGACATGGGCATGCTGATCAGCTGATTGATGATGGATTAACAATCACGTTTTCATATTGCTCTAACCCATGTTCTGTTTTTTGACCACAATAAGTTGTGATAGAATCGGACTGAAAACATGACGAACTGTTATTTTCAGCTTTTCCTTGGAAATTCTGTTGGGACTGCGTATGTCAGGGGGATGATTATATGAAACTAACCATCACCTGCCCATATCTGACAACTCTATCGACGTGTCATCAAACTAAACTATCGACGTTTAGTCATTTGACAATCTGAGAGAATAAGTATTTTCGAAAAATCCTGAAGATTTTTGATCGCTTATCATTTCAGAATGAAGAAAGAGCTTTTGTAATAATTCAGAAATTAATAAGAAAGAAAGCTCTCAACTTACGCTATCACATCAACTGGTTGGTGTAATCATTTTTGGATTATATTCAACAATATTCAACAAATCTCTATTTCTCATTGGGGGATCAATAGACGCGCAAATTAGCATAACGTGATTCACATAGAACTCACGTGAATTTCACGTAAACTAAACACTGTTTATTTTTATTTATAGTTTTGAACGCCGCTTAAACGGTTGTGTTTACAGCAGCGGTAGGTGTTTTTCAAATTCTCTTTTCAATATTTATCTCATTGTTGTTTTTTTTTAGAATTTACTCACCTTATTGGGCATATCTTCCGATTTCCAATCATGTGAGCATGATATGCCTGTATACATGTAGTTGGCTACTAGAAAGGTTAAGACGGCTGATACACAAGTGATGCATAAAGCGATAATGGTGAAACAGCAATAACTCGTATCTGATTTCTAAAATGAAGCAAATGAGTCAAGAATGAAGGTAGTTTGAAAAAGCATTATATGGAGGGGAAGTTCTCGGTTGTACACTTTAGGGTCTGTTCGGCTAATGAAGACGTGAATAGGTTAAGAAAGGATAGATCAAATTGAAAATGAAAAGGTTACGAAGAGGAGTCACAGAAGAAGCAAACACATATCTTAAGGGAAGTGGAAAAAAATATTTTTCAATAGTAGTTCATTAATTTGTTGAGAAAGGTTAAAAGGAATTTCTGAAAGGGGGGACCAGATCAGGTTGAATCGAAAACAAACACATGTTGATGATGATGATGGCAATTGAAGAAATAGAAGTAGAAGTAGAAATGAAGGGGCAAAGAAGAGGCAGCAAAATTGAATTATTGGAAAGTTATGGTAATCAGGGTAATTAGTATTGTTTCAGACATGGATTGCGAAGATGATGTTGATTTATGTAGTAATTAGAAGAATGTGATGAACTCATAAAAGAAGAAGTAGAGATCGATGGAATTCTTCTGATATCGTTTTCGAAATGGATTTGTCCTAGATGATTGTCTTATGACAAACTTCAGTTGATATATTAATATACACTAGAGAGTTTTCACGGAAATTTTGTTAAAAAGGTTTGTCTTAAGCTATACGGAGTTGTTGAAGTATGATCGTTCAGGAGATTCAGGGGAATCATCTTCATCAACATTAACTTTCCCCCAATGAATATTGCAAATGAAATGGAAAGTTAGAGATATATTGATGAATCGTTCACTATCATAGCCGATTGGCATTGAACAGCTTAAGCTCCATACTAGAGAAGATGATGTGGTTCACAGAACGTAATGCAATACAAAGAAGGAATGTCTCATTTATACAATAATTTCAGCAAAGATGTTAATATATGGGAACAGAAAGACTTCGAAGGGATGTATGATCAGTGATTGTGTTCGGAGATCGTTAGTGATTCGAATATTTCAGTTGATTTTATAATTCTTAGAGATGCTCACCTCTTCGGAGTTGTTCTTCATGTTTTGATTAGAACTTCTGAGTTGAAGTTAAGGATGTTAGTTTTGATGCAGGAGGCAAGAAAGACGACGAATCTCGTTTGTGTTTCTTCGTCTGTTTGACTGGTCGACAATCGTAGACTGTCCAACACCCAACGTCTACTTCACTTCTCCACCCTTCATCAGCACCCAGATGGATGGGAATCCCAGTACCGCCCATTGTTATGATCAGTTCCTATGTGCTAAGGTTGTTATCAAAATGATGAGAGAGGTTTGAAGAAGAACATGAAATGAGAAAAGAGGAAATTGATGAACTAGAAGGTAAACCACTCATTAAACATGGGACATAAGATGTCTTTCTTTTGTATTCACGACATTCATTCTTATTTCTCTGTTGTTGCTTATTGTCTTTTCATTTCAGAACTTCCTCTTCATTCTCTCATAGGTGTGGAAATTACGCAAGGAGAGAAAGACTTGCAGGTAGAGAGAGAGAGAGAGTGCCCTTAGCCTATCGAAAGACATTTTCTTTTGCATTGTGTCTTCCATAATGTTGTAACAATCCTTTCTATGGCAGAGAAGCGACCAAAAACGGGAATGTGACCACGAGGAATAAAGCGATAGTTGGGGTTAGAAGACGAGAATTGAAACAAAGAATTCTTCACCTCTCTAAATGTAAGTTATCTTTTTCTACAACATCTTCAATGCTTTCATTATTTCCAGCCAATTCCTCTCTCCCGCTCTATCATTCTCTTTTTCTCTCTCTGTCTCATTTCCGAATGTTATGGCTTTAGCCGTTGTAAGATTATACAGTCATCACCAAATTTGGCTATTGTCATGGTGGACAATTGAAAAACAAATGCTTTGTGTGGTGATTTGGATGAGAATAACGGCCTTTTTAGTCCTTCAGGGTTTTTTTTCTAAAAAAGGTCGATGTCAATTGATTCGATCATAGTTTGAACCCAAGAATAGAATAGTAGATCTATTATTTGATCTCAGACGAAAGTATATCTTGAAGATGAACGATTAACCAACAATTGTTTTCAGAGACCTGTATAGCTTTTGATTCTTGTTTTCCTTATTACTTGTCAAGAGTTTATGAAACTGGGAGCTACGATCAGGTTTCATGCCCATCAGGTTTGCCATTATTGAACTTTGTCTATTCTAATACGAGCATTTGAAGACAGGTCAGCCCTGTTGATATGATTGTGAGGGAGTACAACACAGTAAGAGAGAGGAGGGAAAGGATTCATGGAATAAGTTGGAACCGTTCGAACATAATTGTCAATTAATCAAAATGTCAGGTAAGCGTCATCTGTTTCTAATCAGACATCCAGAAACACGAGACCGTTCATCGTCTTCCATATCGTTTTTCATTTGAAGTTTATTAGATAGTTTTTCAGACAGCAATCAACGAAAGTTCCTAACAATATAAACATAGATATGTCAGGTGGCATCTAAACGACCAAATGACCCGTCCAATATCAGCTGATGATCACAAAAAGGTATCGTCATCTTAACAGATTTTCATTTCTTCAAGCCCCCCCCCCCCCCTTTTCCTTCTTCGTTTATGTCATTCGTCAAACGCGGAACCACTACGTGATTTCTATTTTTGAAGAAAAAATGATAAAAATAGTTCAAAAGTACAAAAAAGGATTTGATATTGATTACGAGATTTCAGAAATAAATCAATCAAACGGCAATGAGAATCTCTCTCTCTCTCTCTATCGGTTGCCTTGTTGACGTCCCTGTTCTGTTATCTGCTAAGACTCTTGGACATATTCGAATTTCTTTTTTTGGACAACGAAACTCTAGATGGCATCGAAGGTTTTTCTGACAAATAGTTCTGTTCTTAGGACGATAATACTTTCTAGATAATGCTGGAACAAGGTTTATCTGCTGTCTTGATCATCTGTCTGCTACAATGAACTGCCCAAGAATGGAGTTTTTAATTTCTGAAAAAGCTTTTGCTTGCTGATCATCATGGACGAATACATCAGTATGGTTAGTTCACTTAATGATTGCTGAGCTTCTCTCTCTCTCTCTGATTTGTCTCTCCTTCTTTTTACGAATTTTTTTGTTTATTCAGACCAAATAGCATTGTGAAATTGAAATAATATGAAATGGTACATAATGTGTCATGCTTCTCCTTTGTGTTCACATATCCCCTAGTGTCTTTTCATCCTCATTTTTGTCAGATTTCAGTGAAGTGGCTTATCCTTCTAAGGAAGAGCTATACTTCCTATCTCTACACACCCACCACATATCCAAAGTTCTTTTCTACGAACCAACACTCAAAGTACAGTTCTTCTTGAAGCCACTCTCTTTACCTCCTTCTACCTCTCTTGCTTAGTCTCCCTCTTTGTACTTCTACCTCATGCGGTAATGTTTTGCACGTCAACCAAGTGATGGATAGGGGAATTCTCTCCTTTCTCTGAGTATTTTCTGCTTTTTTTGATAAATTTCCTTTCATTCCCAACAATCGATCAGTGATTGTGTGAAAAACACAAACTATATTGGATGACAATTGATTGCTGGTGAGCATTGTCAGGAACAGCTCGACAACTTTGATTCTACAATTGACGAACACTAGGAGAACGTTCTCTTTCTCTCTCTCCCTATACTCCAATATCCTAATTGGACGTTTCAGTTTTATCGTCGTTGACGACGTCGACGTCTTCATCTTCTTTCTCCACTTCATTACGATTCTTCTTCTTTTTCTTCTATTTTCATACCCACAGAGATCTTTATACTCATGTGAAGCTTATCTTTGATATATGCTTGACGTCTATACTCACTTAGATCAAAGATGATTTCCGTTTATATCGCTTCTCATGTTCAAACCAAGATTTGGTTAGATTAATTCCATATTCTTCTAATCCATTAGAATCATTGCCTGAGGCAAATGAAGCTAATGCATGTGTTTTCTTGCTCTTCTTCAAACTTCCTCTTCAACTTTCCTTAACCAACACTAACTGTTTGTATTTTCTTTTTTCGTACAAACAAGGAAACAGCTGAATGAGCTATCACCTGTTGCATGCAATCTTTGCTCTTTAAGCCAAATATGCGGGGGCTTGCTGGCTGGTCCGTTGGAATATTTATCGGAGTAGGACACAAATATACAAAGTTTTCTTTATTACTCCTTTTGATTCGGCCATTAACTTGTCTGCTTATCACCTTTCGAGCTTCTTCTTATCAGCCAGCGAATTCCTTTCAGTCATTATGTCACCTGGACAACCTTTCAGCTGTCCGCTTTCAGAACCGATTTCCATTTTTATTCTTTCTTATATTACTTCTCAATTAATCTGGTTTGAGGTTTTTTCCTCCCTTTCAATCGATAACTCAACTCTTACAATCTGAAAGTGGAATGAACTTGTTGATCTGTCTCTCCTTAATCGATCATTCCACCTTCTCCACCTACTACCTCTTAGCTCCGGACATTCGCGCATATAGAGTCATCCTTCCGTTGTATTGTTTTAGACCTTTACTTTTTCCATATTTGGAATGAAAGTCGTTTCACTGGCACTGATAACATTAGGAATGACGCTTTCTAAGCGTCAGATTTTGAGTGAAATTATCATTTGTGAAGCTCTTATCGACCGTAATGATGATTGCATCCAATGGATGTTATGCACGTGAACATATTCACGTTCATGCATAACATCTATTAAGAATATTTATAAACCATATTAGGGATGAAAGGACTAAATGGCCAAATAGGTCATTTAGCCGTTTCATTGGATAACGAGAGGATTACGAGGGAGATAGAGGAAGATAGAGGAAGAGAGAGGAAGGGAGAGGAAGGCAGCTTGGCCCCACATCCAGTTTTTATTAAAATTAATCTTTCTTTTTGTGACAAAAAAACATTTTTCGTCTTCTATTTGGATGTTTGTTTTATTTAATTGTTTTCTCTTTATTTGAGCATTGAGAGGGATGGGATTGCTACTGAACTAATTGGTTGAAATAACTCGATGCTAGCTCTCTCCCCCCCCCCCCCCTTCTTCCCTTCTACCGCGCCTCATCTATCTCACCCCCCACACCCCACCACCCCTGCCCAACCCCTTCTTTCTCATATTTCATAGAAATTCAAGATTGAAAAAGTCACGAAAAGCTCATTAATTTGGATATATTCGAAGCTTTTGCTCCTTTTCATTCGGGATATGTTCAATTGGCATAATATGAATGAAATCAGCCAATTCATCTTATTGAGAGCATGTGAGTGATAGAGGAGGAAGGAGGCGGAGGTGAATTTTCAGTTTTATTACTTTTGGTTGGAAAAAAGCCGAAAATGGAATTGTTTCTTTGGATACCTTGTTTCTTTTTTGTCTTTTATTAGTCCTGTCTGGAATGTAAGCTTGTTTCTCTTGAAAGACAATCCCTTATTAGTCTCTCGTTTTTTTTGTTTGAAAAAATGGAAGAAGACGTTGTAATTAAAGCACAGCTGAGCTTTTGCGATGCAGCTTCTTCTTCTCCTCCTCCTTCAATTATAATATAAGCCGTCTAGTTTAGTTAATCGGCTAATTAACATATTCAAGAGCGAGTTGGGGAGGAGGAAAAGCAAAAAACGTTTTTGAAAGGAAAGGGAAAGAGGATATTTGGAAGTAGAAGAGGAGAAGTAGCATTGCCATGTTGTTTTAAACATCCACCCAAAGGTCACCAACGTTACATTCCTCCATTCTCTTTCGCTCCCTTCATAGAGTTGTGAGGTTGTGCGTGTGCCCAAAAAAGGGAATTGTCGTCTTGTGAAATATAAATATTTGAGGATAATAGAAGGTTTTAGAAGCAAGCGATCTGTGCGACTGAAGGTAATTGAATGAGAGTGAATGTTCGCTTGACATCCACGTCATGCACGGAGACGTCATCGGAATATGTAAATGAGAGAAGAGTATTGGTCAGTAGCCGTGCTCTTTAGCAATTTTGAAATAAAACAGAAAGAGAGAAAAAAATAATAAGAAGAGAAAAAAATATTAAAATAAATATAAGATGAAATGCAAAGAGAGAGAGATAGAGAGAGAAGAGTACGAGGGATGAGAGCGGATGGTGGGCTTGGGGGTGAGGAGCTATGGGAGGGAAAAGATATAGAAGGTAATATTAGAATATGAAGCTGTGAAGAAAGGATAAACAAGTGCCTTCTTTCAGCCATTTTGTATATTCAACGTACCGTATACTCTGAACAATGATTTCTCCATTTGTTTTATAGTTTGAAGACAATCCGAAAGATGTTACAAAGACGGAGGATATTAAAGTCTCCGCGTTGCATGAGTCTGTCGGTCTTCGAATGGATTTCACTTTTAAGCTTTTATATCAGATTTATTTGTTGGGATGATTCTTTTCTATGCTTCTCTCACAAATAGCAACTGCAATCAAGTATCTTATTATTCTGCCATTATCTAATGCTCATTGATGCCGAAGATGCTCCGAGTCCCGTTCTCGCTTTCCTGCCTTTTTGCTTGACATGAAGCTTTTCAAGCTCTCAAGCTCTTTCTTTCATTTTATGACATCACTATGCTCTTTAGAGCCTTTAGCTCCACTCGTGTTGTCTCCATCATTTCTTCAACTCCTCTCCTCTTCTGCCTTCATACAGCTCTTCCATTCCCCTATCTATCAGAATGTCTGTTTTTCTTCATTTCTTACTCTCTGTCAGCCAGCTTCTATCTTTGAGACTCTCCACATTTCGTTTGCTATTCTGCTGGGCTTCTTTTATTCTCTGCCCTGACTTCCTTTTTCGTCACTCGCCTAGTTTCAGCTCCCAGAGCCTGCCTATTGATCGCTCCGCCCACTTCTTTGCCATACGGGATGTGGCGCGCCGCCGTTGCGCTCGTTGCGCTATCTAGCGTAGCCCTACAGTCTGTATATGGACTCGGTGAGTATTTAATCATTTATAAACATCTTAATTATCTTATAACGAGTCTTTCCATATAAAATTTGCATAAATCGGCCCACTATTACTAGTTCTAAGAGTTGCCTATGTTTCATATGTGTGTGTGTGTGTGTGAAAAGCTTCAGCTGGACCCAGCTGTTCTCTGTCAAACTTTTCTCTCCTCAAAAGTATTTTTGTTTGAAATGTTATGTGACGTATGGAACATGTTGAAGAATTGTAAACGTAGTTTGGTGTATTGAACATTTCTCGAAATCTTGAGAAACAGAAGCCTGGTGATGATCATCTTCGATCGTCGAGCACCAACTTCATTTGCGTTTGTTTTCAAACTTGGCTCATTAATAAAAAACATTTGAAGTGTTGCCATTTCTGAGAAAAACCCTGAGTTTCATGAATTTTGTGTTTAATTAGCGTCTTGACTGCTTATTGTAAGATTTTTTTATTTGAAACATCAGCCAATAGCAGAAGCCTGCCAGTACTCCACCCCTTTCTCTCTCTCTCTCTCTGACTGTCTAACTCCCTCTGTGATGTCCTCTTCGGATAGTAGATTTGTGATTTGAAGACGCCCAAAGATAAAAGAAGAAATTAGAAATTCTAATGAATTCCCATCTATTCTTTTATCCACAAATAACCAAATTCGAACAGATAGTTGATGCCAAATGAAGAGAGAGGAGAGAGAGGAAAGTTCCTTCCCTTCTCCATTCCCTCCCTTCCTCTCTCTCTCTCTCTCTTTGCCTACCAACCTCTTGACATGCCCTCTTGTTTCATGTCGTTTTTGAATTTATGAAAGATTTCTGAAATGACAGAGAAATTACTTGTTTATCCTATCTTTGCTGTTGGCAAGCAAGCAGGCAGGCATTCGACTTCTCCTCAGCTTCAACATCCATCGTTGCTTTTCTCGTTTTGCCCATGTTTTTCTGATTATAAAGTCAGTAAGATTAGTAACAAATAGTGAAACGGAAATGCAAAAAAAATAACAAAAAAATTAATAAAAAACGTTAACAACATGGGTGTTGAATGTTGGGGATGAAGAGAAGAGAGAAGGGTGTTGATTGAGGGAGGAGATGATGGGTTAGGAGGAAATGCTCTGCTTGTGCACTCCTCTCCCTTCCCTATCTGTATTTCTCTAATTGCAATTATAGAGAGATTAAGGTAATAATAGAGAGAGAGAGAATGAATCCTTTGAATCTTTTTTGGGGGACAAAAACAATCTTCAAACTTAACCAGAAATTGATGAGAGAGAGAGAGAGAGGAAGGAGGGAAGGGGAGTAGAAAGAGGAAGAACGAAAAACTACTACGAGAGTCTTCTATGGTTGACGTCGCAACCTCTTTCAAACGAAAATATTTTCTTTTGAAATGTATATAAAGAGAGTTCGAAGAGTGGGGAGTTTGTTATAATTAATCTTGAATAGGCGAAGGCAAATAAGGAAATGACCTCGGGGAAGATTTTCTTTGCAAAACCATATTCATGGAATTCATTTTGTTGCTTCCGAACATTATCTGCAAATTTCAAAAAAAAAAGAAAACTTATGTCCTGTTCTCTCTTTCCTATAGTAGTTGTAGTTTACTCCTCTCTCTCTCTCTCTCTCTCTCTCTTTTCACCCGTTTTGGCGCCTTCCTCTCCCTCTCTCTCCTTCTCTCTCTCTCTCTCCTTCTTTCAACTCGTGAGAAGGGAGGTTTGTCAGATGCAAAAGGACAGCATGAATTAGCTCATTTTCTCTCTTTTTTTCCAAGTTTTTAATGGATCTCAACTCGAAACTCTTTCGAAAATAGTTTACATTTCTGATATTCCGGTAAACAAATAACGAGAGAAAAACAGTTTTTCATTTCAACGGCGGGAAGCTGCGGAGAGAAAAAATTTTTTTCTTTTTATGGCGTGTGTTCCGTTTTCTTGTCTTTGGTGTTCGTTAGAAGACATTGATCTCAGGATGGAGCAGAAAGATAGAGAGAGAAGGGAAAGAGAGAGAGAGAGAGTGAGGGGATTGAGAAAGAGCGAGCTCGTTAAAAGATGAAATTATAACTTTATAACATATATATATATACTTTATATTATGTTCGTTTTGCAGCATCTGAAGGGGGCTATATAGCTGAGCCATGGATCTACGATTCAGAGAAGGATGTCCGTCAAGAGCCTCGACCAATCCCCGAGGTTTATACCTTTTGTATTGAATTGAATGTGATTGTAAACTATTTGAAGGATTACGAGATGGAAGAAATCTACCGTCAAGCAGTCCAATCTGATCCGAATGATGCCATTCTGGAAGGAATCATTCGTCAAATTCAGCAGCAGCAGCAACAACAAGTTATTCGCCCTCAAGGTATAGATCTTTGCTTTTCATATAGACATCTCATATCGCTACACACAATTTGCATATTGTGTCCTTTTATAGAATAGCCGAGTGATCTTTACCAAAAGTACAACCGAACTCAATTTTTTATTCAATTTTGTGCTTTTTGTTCTCTGCGAAATTAGCTCGACCATCATCATTATAATTAAAAGCAAATTTTTGAATTTCAATTGATTATCCTAATGACGTCGTCGTCATGCTGCTTCTGATGGCCTAACTCAATCATTTCATCAACGCTCGTTGTTTTCAGAATACGACCAGCAATATGATCAACCTGTGGAGATTGATCTTCAACAAGAACCCTTGAAAGCTGATATTCCTACTGATAATCTGAATGAAAAGAAGCCTGAAGCTAGCAAACCCCAACCACAAGCTCAAGCTGAAGAGGTTGCAATGACATGTTTCGGCTTTTTTAATTCTGGTTTTAAGGCTCCAAAGGAAGCTGAATTACCCAAGCAAGCCGAGCAAAAACCACTCGTTGCTCAGAAGAAAGGACAAAGTGAATATGTTTCCTTTGTTGAGCCAGTTGAAGCTAAGCAAACGAAGTGAAAAAAGAAATTAAATTGTGTCATAATCTATTTCCTTATTAGGTCAGTTCCTTCTTTGGATAAGCGTCGTTTGAAGTCATCTGCTGAATCTACCAGCCTTTACCCTAAGTACAGCACGAACCTTCTGACAATTGGTAAGTCTTTACACTTCATTCATTTTCACGTAGACAGTTTGATTGCAAAAAGCGATTGGTACAGATGTGTGTGTGCGTGAGTGTGAGAATCATTGACAGCTGGCGTACATCATCATAGTCCTATGATTAATTCATAAAAAAGTTATAGAAAAGTGAATTTTGAATGTAAATTGTATAGGAACAACTTGGGGACAGTCAAAACATGGACGACTACTTGTTTGAGAGGACAACACACTTTTTTTGTTGAAAAAAAAATTCCAAAAAAGGAAGGTGGTGGTATTGGTAGTGAGAGAGAGGGGATGAGGAGGTCTAGAGAACTACTGGAAAGCTAGAGGGGATAACTCTCTGGACGGCTTTCCTCTTCTCACGTGCTTATTCCTCATTTCCACTAATTCTTTACTTATTCTAACATCACATGACTACGGTAATTTGTTCAGAATTGAGAAGAGATTGAGCTGAATTACACTGCCTCGTTCATTGCTCCTACTGGAGCAAAAGAATAATGATTGAAGCGAAAAGTGCCTCGAGCGCAAATCATTCTCAATTGGTTTAGCCTTATATGGATACAGCTAGCTTTCTGAAAAACATGAAGTCAGAAAGTCGAAAGAAATGCTTATGAGAGTTTCTATTTATAGATAAAGAGAGAGAGAGAGAGAAAGGAAGAGAGAGAGAGAGAGAAAGAGTGCGTGTTGAAGGATCAATCTTTGTAAAAAGGGGTAGGGAGGGGGATGTGAAAGTAGACGCAAAGGAAATAATGTTCTTCCAGAAAAGGAGAGAACTAACTATAGATTTCCATATTTGAAGGAACAATTTGGCTTTGTGACCAACCGTTTTCCTTTTTTGGAAAAGAGAGAGAGAGAGAGAGAGGGAGAGAAATAACATTTTGTATTTTTCATAAATAGGAAAAGGCTGTTTGTAACAGCAAATAAGATGGCTCAGATGTCGTTTTGTGTGTCGACGTTTGGTTTGGAAAAACCTTTTGTTGCTTCATGTCAGCCAATGTTTGTCACAACTCACTTGTTCTGTTAAAGCTTTTTCTTCGTAAAATGGTCATTTACATGCTTTTATGAGACATTTTGTCACAAGAAATCTCCATTTGAGGTGATAGAAAGCTGTAACCGAGTGTTTCAATAGCCATCTTCAGTAAGCCTAGAGGACCAGATGAAGCTTTTTGGAATTTGGGAGAAGTGGTGGCATGGTTGGAAAGTAAAAGGGGGGGAGGGAAGGAAAGCAATTAGTTGATGACCGTATATGAGTTGAATTACTTGGAAACAATCTCCATCAATGTCATTTCCTTCCCAGTTTTCATATGATTTTGCTTGCAAGTTGAATGATTTGTGATTCAAATCGAATTTTCGTTCTCCCGAAAAGGCATTCATGCGATTTCGAAAAAAAAAAGAAAAAAAAGGAAAATTATGCTGTTGGGGGGAGAAGTAAACAAACAAGAAAAGAGGCTTGAAGACATCATTTTGTTCTTGAAATTTGTTAATTTGCTCTCTCTCGTTCTCTCTCATGTCTCAACAACGTCGTTTTAGCTGTTGGAACTGTTGTGCTCGTTGGATTAGTTGGAACTGTTGTTGGCGGGGGATACATTCTCAAGTAAGCTATATATGTATAGATAGGGGCCTTCATTGAATTTGTCTTCAGGCGTAGACATGACTATATTGATGACAGCGACTATGCTCCATATTCGGGATCCGGACCTGTTTTCGGAGTTCGTTCTGGCAACAAAAAGGTTTCATAACTCTTTCAAGTCGTTTTGCAAAACTGTCGTTGCAGAAACCTCAAGGAGATGCCCAAGATGAGAAAATGGCTTATAAAGCTCAACTCCATCATTACCAACAAACAAAGCAGAAAATAATCTGCGGAGATGCAGTTCCGGGTATGAAAACTGAGATAGCTTTCCATATATGATTTTGTTTCCTTCTAGGTGGAATGGAGTCTGAAGGTGAAGAGGAAGTTGATGACGAAAATAACTTCAGCGTCTATGAATGCCCTGGATTGGCCTCTACAACAGACATGGAAGTCGTCAACCCCAACTTCTGTGCGAATCCTTGAATTCAGAAGCCCCGCCTGTAAATCTGTGTAAACTTTCCCTATTCTATATATCTTGGTAAAGCTTAGAAGATTCTGATTGAGCCATGATCTGGTGTAGATTATGAGTTTTCCGTTAGTTTTCCATTGTGGTCCACAGTCCTCAGAAATGAAAAAAGATCTGAAATCCTATAAGTTTGTATCCATTAAGAAGCATTCTATCCAACTTCATACCGGTGCTAACTTGCTTGATAGCCAAGCCAAAGCATGTGCATTCATGTTGCAGTGAAGCGAATCAATAAGTTTCCTAACCTGGAAAATACTTCTTAAACATCTATCTCGTTGTATATTCTTCTGTTTTATCTTTTTACTAATAATCTGTCTGTTGTAAAATCATGCCGGTGAACCTCACGAGCGTCTTGTTTTCCCTTCTGCCTTCTGAAGAATGCAACGGGAGAGAGCGAAGACGTTTGTTATTGGGGATTTGAGAAAAGAGTTCCATCTATTTAGACAAAAAGCTGAAAGATATTCTATTTATTTCGGGAAGAAAAATCTTTGATGGAACATCGGCAACAAGAGATTCGTCGTGCTAGTCAATTGACTGTATGCCTTTGTTATCGAAATAAATCTTCCTACTTTCCATTCCCAAGTATATGATTGATGATGTAAAAGCTAATATATATATTATATTGTTTTTCATGTCTTATACGTCCTCATATACTTTGTATGTAAAATTGAAAACTACATTTGTGAAATCATCCAATGGCCATTCGGCGGGGCTCTATGTTCGACTGATTTTCAACAAAGTTTTCTTTTGATTATACGCAATCGAGTTCCTTTTTCAATGTTGTTCAAAGAATTACTTTTGTCGTATAAACTGATCATTTGTTTGTTTTCTTTCATTTCTCTTTTCTAAACTGTAGGTTATAAGCATAAGCTTGTCTACTAACTAACTACATGTGTACTAACTCTGTTGAAGCCGAAGACACTCCAGGAAGAACTCTGCAGCCAGGGTGTTTGTTATCAAGTGTATGATTATTCGTCTGGAACTGATCACAAGTAAGTTAACGAGAAATCGAAGAGGGAGCAACCGCTTGCGTTGGACGTCTGTCGAAAAATAAAACTGAATTCCTCGTGAATTCACGTGAACATTGCACAGACGGATTGGCAACGCGTACTCATCACTCATTTTAGGTCGACTATGCAACGCCTTCTAGTTCAGACAAAGGGAGGCAAGGAGATGAATGTGGGAACAGCAGAGCTGCAGATACCTGAAGGTCTTTCCAAGCAAATTCTTTTATACTTGCTGTTTTGCAGAGTTGTCGTGAGCCAATGTTAATACCTCAACATGGAACATTCACACTCTCGTTATTGTTTCCCAACATA